AGTGGAGAAGGGTTCCTTTTTCCCCACAGCCTCTCCAACATTTGTTGTTGGGTGATTTCTTTATGATAGCCATTCTTTCTGGGGTGACATGATATCTCAATGTGGTTTTAATTTGCATTTCTCATTTCATTTATTTACTTGTTGTCCTTTTTTCATATTATCCAAATTGATATTTGCTTTCCTATATAAATTATAGTCTTACAGTATGCTAGAAATTCCACCTTCATTTTAGGGACTATTGTTTTCTGAGGAAAATGTGCACTCTTAAAAGAAAACTTTTGGAGAGTTCATTACTTATCTGGGAACAGCCTTTGTTAGCAGCCACTGTGTAAGAAACACTCACCATGTGGCCTCCTTGTTGGCTGAGTTACTCCACACGTAGCTTGTGAAAGGAAACACAGACTGGACTCTGGTCTCCAGGTTCTCAAGCGAGGGTTACAGGTCTCAGGACACTGTCAGCTGGGAGCTGGTCGTGATAGCCTGCTCTGTGAGCAGTAGGCCTAGCCCAGAGATAAGCATGTCAGATTAGCTCTGCTGCCCGCCTGCTGATGGTGACTCAGCCCGGCCCTCCCTTCACTTGTGTGGCCATGAGCTTTCCTGTCAGGTCACAGAATGAATCCAGTCTTGCTTTTAATTTTCTCAAATTTCAGTTTTCTTTATTTTCTTCTTTTGAGAGGAGGCCTCACTATATATAGTTCAGCCTGGCCTTGAACTCACAAGCTCAGGCTGGCCTTGAACTTGCTTTGATCTTTCTTTCTTAGGCTCTGGAGTTCTGAGCTTACAGGTATTCACCACAGCGCCAAACCCAAGTTTCAATTTTTTGATTCTAGTTTTCAATTTGTATGTTATGAAAATTTTCTTGAGACTTTTTAAAAAAATTAAACAAGTAAAATACTTAATAGTTACAAATAAATTAATATTATATAGCTGATGATAAAAGCATAGAATATGGAGCTTTTGGAAGTAAAAGGAGTTAACTGGAATCTAAAAGGCACAGTGCGAAATGTGTGAAAAGCTAGTGAGGTGAACATGAGGGAGAAACATGCTAGCTGGCAGAGGTGGTAGTTGGCTGAAGGAGGCCCCAGGCCTCTGTCACCCGGGGAAGAAGAGAAGGGTGCATGTGCAAAGCCCTCGAAGGCCAAGCTCCATGAGCCGCATGGCTGCAGCCAGGGGGAGAGAGGTGCCTTAGAGACTGCGCAGAGATCAGTTTTCTAGATTATACCAGAAAACAGGAGCTAATTTTGATGGGAAAAAAGTGTAGCTTTTTAAAGTCAACTATAGTATCTAGGTTAGTTGGATCTGCAGTGCATTTATTAAAAGATAGTCTTGTGTCCTGTAGGCAAGAATATACAGAGCTTACTACTTTGCCCTCAAGTCCCTAAGTATCGCCCTTCTGTGTTACTTTTGCATAGAGGATCTAACCATACAGAGAATAAGTAGGATTCCTTCCTTCCTCTCTCTGCCCTCTTTTTTTGATCAGAACTAAACTTTTCAGGAGCTGCACAGCATTTGGAAATGTTCCCAACTCTCACATATATTCTGTGACAGTTGTTCTGTCATGTGCCATGAACTCTCTGAGTTGTTTAACTGTTTTGCCCTTATCATGTATGTAGGATCTCACTTTAATTTGGGTTAGGTAGACTGTTAAACAGTAGCCCTCGCAGCTGTACAGCTGTAAAATCTTTGCTGGCCAGTCCTCCTGTGGCTGCTGTCAGCAAACAAATGAACCCTGGCCTGACTGTCTCTCCTCCTCCAACCAGGCATTTCTGGCACTGGTGAGCTTGCTGTCCTCCCCAGCCGTGTATGAACTGCTGGGCCTTCAGGAGCTTCCGAACAGGGCAGAGTACTCACTCCGCGAAGTCCCCACGAGTGTCACGGTGAGTCCTTTGCTCCCCACATTTTCCTCTTAAAAATGCCAACTGTGTGAGATTGGTAAGTCAAATGTATCTTGACCAAAAGAATTCTTCCATAGCATTCATTCATTCATTGAGACAGGGCCTTGCTGTGCAGTTCAGGCTGTCCTCGAGTTCATTTTGTAGTCCAGGCTTGGTCTCGAACTCGCAGTGATGTTCCTGCCTCACTTCAGTAGCTGTTAAAGGTGGAGTTGTTTTTTACCCTTGTTCTGTCAACTCTGTAATCCTCTGCGTGGGAGTTTGCTCTGGACCCTTAGCAGCCCCAGTATTTCCCAAGCCCGAGAGCCCTGTCCTGCTGCAGAGAGCTTCGGGGAAGAAGCAGTCCGGGTGTGTGGCAAGCTCATGGCTCACCGTGTCATTACTCATGGTGGAGCTGCGCTTCCATGGCTAGGATAATTAAGATTAGTTTGCATCTGAGAAGTGCGGTATATTTTGTTCGCTTTAATGAACAACATATTACCGCCCCATGAGGGCAGTATATATGCACTGTTTGTTTAAGCTGAGATTGTTTATACTCATAAAGTTATCGAGATGATTAACTTGAATAAACGCTTATAAGACATACTTCCTTATCTTTGGATAAGTTTATGAATTAAACATGGATAAGCTTTATATATAAGGTGTAGTAAAAAGTTACTAGATGCTGGAATTTCCTGCTAATCATTACTTCTAGCCGTTTTTCCTGTATATTATTGTTTTTATAAACATACTTTTTCCTTTCTAAATACTTTAAACACATGATAACCCTAAATATTTGAGTTTTAAAAATCTTTTTCAACTTTAGGAAATCTTTGGTAACATATGGAAAGAAATACGCGAAGATGGTACTTCCATTATGAAGCTTTCCACCCCTGTTCTCCCAGTTTTCTTCAAGGACTGCAGTTGTAGCTCCTGCTTAGGTCTCTGTCCCAGGGCGTTTCACGTACAGTGCAGTTAGCCAGCGTCTGCTGGTCTCCGCAGCACTGAGCGGCGAGGGACAGCGGGTGTCCTGGCTGTTCTAAGTACCCGCATGCTGGGTGAACAGTGGTGGGAAATAACCCTGGTCCCGTGATAGTTTGTGGAAATGCCATGAAACAGCACAACTGAGGGCTACTAGCTCGGAACAGTGCTCAAATGTGTTTTCTAGTTTCTGATTCTAGCCCAAGTTAGTGCTTATTTGGGTGGATCTTTCCACTTAGGCAGAGATTCTTCTTGTGTTTATGCTTAAGACAGTTAAGTGCCAGCAGGGCTACTCTGGCTGTCCTGGAGGGCGCAGCATTTGAGCTCTGTAGGAGAGTCACCGGCTGCTTCCTGTCACCCAGTGAATACATACAGACTATCCTACCCGACCAGATGACTCTCTTAACCTCTGGATGCCTTCTGTTACATTGTTTTGGGACAAGGTCTTGTGTGTAGTTTAGTCAGGCATTGAACTCACTGTGTAGCCCTGGTTGTCCTCAAACCCACAACGGTCCTCTTGCCTCAGCCTCCCGAGTGCTAGGGTTACAGGCGTGAGCCACCACGCTGGCGGTCTACTTACTACTGTCATTTCCTTCTCCCGGGGTTGTGGTCCTGTGCACTTCCGGCTCTTTAGTTTCTCTGGGATGTCCTGGATTTTTCCGGGGTCTTTCCTCTGGAATGACTTCTGTAGTTCCCTGGCTTCTCGTGGGCACAGGCAGCTCTGCGGGTGGGCTCAGGACCCATTTCCCCAGATGTGTTGTGAGATTCCCAGCTGCGGTGGGTGCTGCAGAGCTCCCGGGCCTCGCAGCCATCCAGCTTCTGTTCGTTTCCCTCCTGCACTGCTTGTCTCAGTGTGGGGGTGTGGGGCACCACCCCGGCCAGCTGGGCCAGGAATCTGGAAGTTGCCGTGATGTCCCCTCCGCTGGTGACATGCGCTGGCGTCCTTGGGCATCATGTTATGCCTCTCTCTTAAAACAGCTGTAGCGCAGAGCTTGGTCCCCGTCTGGGTCACTTCAGGAAGATTCTAACTGCTCTTTCTTCCAGTATCAAACTCTGAGATATCCTCACTGTAAACCAGAGCTTTGAAAATGAAATCTAGTAGCAGCCATCTGTGGTTTAAATCTCTGCTCATTTTGGCTCCTCTGCCTGGCCTGTGACATCCCCTTGCCACTGCCCCGTCACCCCTCTGTGCTTCTCACTTTGCACCTCAGCCTGCTGGCTCTCTGGAGAAAGCACTTACCTTCCCTGCAGTCTCCGGGGTGTGTAACCTTCCTCTGGGCTGCGAGCCATCTCCGTCTTTAGGCCTTCCTCATCCCCGCGGCATTTCTCCTTGGCTTCCAGGCTCATTGTGTCCTCCATTCACTCCTTGCCCCGGCACAGAGGCTGACAGGTGCTCTTACATTCCCTTGCTGTACACTGCTCGGCTGTCTGAGCGGACTGCAAGTCCTGTGAAGAGAACTGTTTTCTTTTGTGTTCCTGAGGCCTACCCAGGTGAACTGTGCCCCTGTGAACGTGTCAGGGTCTCAGGACTCTCGCTGCTGTCATTGTTGCTCTCAGGTGAGACTTCCTGAGAATAATTCAGGAAGATTTATCGCAGAATGTCAAATGCTTGCTTTCTTCAGTGGGAATCCCATGGGAGGAAGTTACATGGAGGCACCTGTGTGCGTGTGTGCGTGTGTGTGCATGTGCCCACGTGCGTGCACATTGTGGGATTTCTGCCCTTTCTGATGTGAACGTTTTCAGAGTTGCGTGGAAAGGCACATCATGAGCTCTCATCCACCATCACAGAATTTCAGCTTGTTGTGCAGTTTCTAAGCTAGTCTTTTCCCGTCTCTTCTCCACATGTGTCCTGTTTTCTGTGCTCTGCCCCCAACTTCTGAGGTACCTGTAAGCATGCTGTCGGCGCGTATGTAGTGACTCAGTACTTACTCCAGTAAGGACACTGGCCTTGCTTTACCTTGAGTGACGGTGGCAAGTCCTGCTGGCACCCCCACACCTGACACGGCAGCTTTGGCCCTTGGTAGGGCTGCACGCCAGCATTCGGCCCATCCGCCTGTCTGGAGCTGTCTCTGGTGCAGGGCTGTCCCGCTTGCAGTTGGTGAATTCATTCTGAACCAGGTCCACTTGTCCCCTCAGGCATTTTGTCTTTCAGTCTTTTATCCCGGGGCAGCAATCCTCCCTCTCTTTTAGTGTCCAGGCTGTGGACTTACTGGAGAAACTGGGTAGTTGTCTTTTGTTGTGTGGCTTTATTGTCTCATTAGCAAGTGTAAAATGATGGCTCCAGTTCTGCCCTTCTTTTTATATTTAAATTCTTTACAAAAATTTAATAGAAGCAACCTTGAAACAGTTATTTTTCAGGAAAAGCAGAATGAGCTCTTACTTTAGAATGATGACAGTGCCCTAGCTGTCTCTAAGCGGGAGGCTTACGTGCTGCTGTTACCATTGTCAGCGTTAGGATATGCGTACCTTTCCTACAGTCCAGGGCAGTCACTGACGAGGCAGCCCTCCTTGGCTAGTGAGCTATTGTGGCAGTACACACTAGTGTCCGCTGTTGCTTCATCTGTGCTTCTGTCTCACTGTGTGCAGTTTGTGGCTCGGGCCAAGAATCAGCCACCATCAAAGACTGTTCTTGCAATGAAAAGTCTCAGGTAAAAATTACGACCTAGGCACTAGGAAGTTTTTCTGTTAAAAGTTGACCTTGTACGTGGGGTTTTCAGTGGACACGCAAGGAAGGTAACTTCGTTTTGTTTAAAACCTTAAGAGACAAACTCAGCAGGCTTCCTACTGAGGTTTCTTTGTGCGTTGGCTGTCTGGATGTCTCCCCAAAGCCGTGTGCCGTCCCAGGTGGGGCTTGCCATGGGGGCTGGATCCAGAGTGTGGGATGCTAGGTTTGAGTCACGGCGCAGTGCCAGGACGGAGGCGGGTAGCCTAGATGAGACACAAGGGACAGAAAGAGGCTAGTCGCTTGTCGCCGGCTTCTGCTATCTTCTGTTTGCAGCGAACTGGTTCTCTGCAATGCTCCTCTGTTGCACCGCCCAGCCTGGGAGCCCGCGCATTATGTACTGAAGCCTCTAGGAACTGAGTGGATAACCTTTCCTCCTTTAGTCTTAGGTGCTGGGTATTTTGTGTCAGCAATGAGAAAAGAAACTACGACACTGTGCTTGCCTTTGTATATTTCTTTTTTCTTAAATAAGTTGGTTCCCAAGTGTTTCTTGACATGGGCAGGGTTCCTTGTTCGTTTATTACACAGTACACACATAACAGTGTGAGGAATAGACTCAGGTCAGCAAATGTACACAGGGACCTCTCTTTGGTTCTTTCTCTCTCCAGAGGCTGTGCCACGGGGATTTGCACCTGAGGTGCTGGGGAGCTGAGGGCACCTCTGGGAAGAGGCTTTTTCTCCTGCCTTGATAGAACTCGGCTCTTTTGCACTTGTGAGGTTGACTTCCCTCGTCGTTGTTGGCTGTCACCCACGGCTTCCCATAAGCTCTAGAACCTGCTCTCAGTGTCTCGGCCATATAGCAGTGCTATCCTGTGACTCTTTGGAAAGAAACTTGCTTGTTAAATAGCTCCCAGTTTGCTCAAGCCCAGTCCACTGCTCCTGCACTGCACAGTGGCAGTAGAGGGTTGGCCAGATCTGCAGAAGCTCCATGCAGCAGGGGCTCTGCGTTGGAGGTGTGGGAATCTTGGCATTGTCTGGAATTCTGCTTGGAACTGAAGCCCCAGCAGTGTGGTCACTGGGTTAAAAGGCAAATTCACACATAAATGGTACAAATTTGTGGACTCCGTCACTAGGTTTTTTTTTCCTCCAGGAAGGACCATTGTGTTTACTCAGTGAGGTAGAGCATCTTCTTCTTGTGGGGTGGTTAATACGACTGTGTGATCAGAAACACATTGGGCTGTCTGATGGATTAAAGGGGCCTAATGTTTATTTTCATTATGAATAGAAAATCTTTTCCTGTGTTTAAGGACCGTTGACGTTTCTTTCTTTCTAATGGTCTTTTAATTTATTTTTGCCTGTTTTT